ATGTGAAGAATACAACCCTGGGGGTACAAAATGACCCCAGGACGTATGGATAGGGTTAACAAACAACCCAAAAATCCCTGTAACTCTCAGCCGACAATATGATGAGTCATGACATTTTGTGTCCATAAGATATGCAAAGGGCTTACCCTGATTTCCGAGCCCTGTAAATGTCAAGGTCACACAGTATGAGATATGACAAAATGACAACGACATGACGACGACGTAAATCTTTTGACGAACAAAAAAAAACAACTTCTGCTGGTCCACATAAACTTGCCAGGTCCACAAAGTGAAAAAAACATGTACAGAGAACACAAAGCAAGAAAACAAGAGCCTTTTTCAAAAACAATACAAGAAAAAAGGGGCAAAGTTTCTTCAACAATAATAATAGAAGAATCCACACAAAATACAACATTTGCATCAATATTCCAAAGAAAACACACTTGGCCTTATTCCACCTCTCCATCAAGACGTGACAGTTTATGGCGTGACGACGAAAAAAGATGACAGGTCCTGTCTCTGAATATGTGTCCACAGCACAATGAGGTAAGTAGTAGGAAGAAACAAAGGAATACAAGATCTGAGAAGTGTGAGATCTTCGCGAAGCAGCCCCCTGACCGCCTGTGCACTGTTTTTCATAATAAGCAGAAACTTTCAAATAATAATAATTGTAATAACATCAGTAAAGCCAATTTACATCAAATAACAAAAAGACAATCATTCACATATATATTATATATATATTACTTGTCTCTTCTACTTTTAGGCAATAAAATTCAACATCACTGAACTTACTTACACTCACATGTAATTTGCATTTTTTTGTAAGTAATTATATATCATCAAACAGACACTCACAATATAAGAACAATAATAAATTTCATTTATAAAGCGCATTTCCACAAAGAAAGTGCTCAAAGCGCTTTACAGTACTACAACGAACACGAGCATCATTCAGTTCCAATAGAAATTTCCCCCCCCCCCCTCTCTCTCTCGGTCTCTCTCTCTCTCTCTCGGTCTCTCTCTCTCGGTCTCTCTCTCTCGGTCTCTCTCTCTCGGTCTCTCTCTCTCGGTCTCTCTTTCTCGGTCTCTCTCTCTCTCTCGGTCTCTCTCTCTCTCTCTCCCTCTCTCTCTCGGTCTCTCTCTCTCTCTCTCTCCCTCCCTCCCCCCTCCCTCTCCCTCCCTCCCTCACTCTCTCCAGTATACATATGCTCGAAGGCAGACAGTCGACAACAATAACTTGTATCTTCTAGTACCGTAAGTAATTAAAACAGCATCCAACAAACAAGACTCGCCAATAACCTGTATCTTTTCCTAAGTAACTCAACATTCCCTTCACTTATTAAGTTAGGCTGGAGATAATCACAGAGTGCCACGACAACAAAAAAAGGTTTGCATGATACGAAAAGAGTCCATGAAATGGCATGATACAAAGAGAGTCCGTGAAATTGCATGATACAAAAAGAGTCCAAAAATATGAAAATGCAAAAGTCGTGTACACAAGAAATAAAGTTGATGAAATGGCTGCATACAAAGTAAGAAAATTTTATGGCTGTCTACACAAAACAAAGGAAAAAAATGAAATGCCTTTTGGAAAACAGAAGAGAGAGAAAGAAAGCAAATAATGCGCTTCCAGGTAGATTATATAAATTATACGTGTAACGACGTGGTGGAATCAGGCATTGGTCAATTTTTTGGGGCATACAGGGTTGCCTGTTCATTTCCTTCCTTTCAACTTTCTGAGAGAAAAAATATCCATCTGTGCTGAATAGAAGTCAAAAGTATATGTAATTGAAGGAGGTCAGGGTCGCCTGGTTTCAGAGGTAAAATTAGCGAGAACATGGCCGCCAAAGTTTGGTAACTTCCATAGCCTGAGAGTCCTTGGAAAAAGACAATTTACATTCTTAGTGCCTTTAATCAATAGGCTTTTTTTTCAGTAAAATCCACACAAAAATGTGTTTTTAAATGGACGTAAAAGGTGCTGAGCCACAAAAAGAATATTAGAAAAAATATGCCCACCGACCAAAAACATGCCAATTTCTTTGATTTCATTATCTTGACGAGCGCCTGATTTCACCACGATGCCACACACATATATATGACAGAAGCTCTTCAAGAGAGAAACTATTCTGTCTCATCAGCAATACTCGGGTCATCTGTGCAAGATTGTTTAAGTCAGTGCTTTCTCCTACCTCATTGCAACTGAAAAACAGACGCATCAACGCAATGATGATGGTGATGATGATGATGATGATGATGATGAGGATGATAACAATGATAACAATATAAAGCTGAAGAAATAATACGTGATAATGACAATAAAAAAATAACAACATATGCTCATAATATGTACAAAATTGTCAGTCACATGAGAAAGAACTGGGGAAAAATGGAAAAACTCTATCTCTATTCAGGCACTGTTTACAACATGGTACAAGTTGCTATATCGTTTATGAAAAGCTTAGAAGCCCCGAAAGTCGTGAACCCACATAAGAAGACACCTCCAGACAGAAAACTGTACAGAGAAATCACACCAGACACCCCAGCAGCTAAAGCACGGAAGTGGATAAGTTTAGTACAGAGACTTCAGCAAAGGCAAATGTCTCGATAGTTTAATATAAAAAAGCAAAGTCATCCCCGCATCCGATCCGGACATTGGGGATTGCCTTGTTAGTGCAACAACTTCCTGGGCCTTCAGCATATTGTGGTAGGGTGGCCAGTTCCTTTCCATGCCGCCTTAACTTCCCCAACTCGAAGTCAGGTACCCATTACTGCTGGGTGGGCAGGAAGGGGTGAAAAAAAAATCTGTGTCCGAACTGAGGCTCAAAACTGAACTTTCCACTTCGGAGACGAGCGAATTAACCGCTCCGCCACCGCACCCTCAGTTTAATATAAACTTTAGAAGAGGAGCACAAGCAAAACATGAGGTCTGCGGAGAACACAGACAGACTATAACTTAATAATAATGAGACTTGCTGCACAGAGCACATACAAAGTACATATACAATGAGGCTTTCCAGGATCTGCCTTGACCCTTCACTTATGTCACACTCTTTCATTTCTGTACAAGTTCATCAAAGTCTCACAAGACACAAATAGATTTTGGAGCTTTTTTTCTCCTCAAGTCAGAGCACATGGCCCATTGTAAGCAAAGAAACCCCCCCACAGAAATTCATAGAAGTAAATATCATATTTCAGAGCAAACAATTTCGGGTGTGCATTTCTGTAAAATAAGCTGAAAACTGAAAGTGCTGTGGTTTTACTTGTCAATGTCTGCCCCATTTGGGCCTTCACAGCAAGCGGAAAAAAAAAACAGTAAAAAAAGAACAAGAAAAGAAAAAAGAACAAGATCTGGGGCAGACGAGACAGCGGCAAAATACAAAAATCATCAAGGCCATGCATGTTCACCATTCTGATAAAGTGCTGACAACCTGCTCCAATAGCTTCACCAAAACGCGGGAACACAAGCATGAGAATACTGGCACTAACTTTATACTTGGGTAAAAGCAAAAATGGCAGACCAGAATAACACAGCACAGGAAAGCTCTACAGCAATATGGAGGTGCAGACGGTAGTGTCAGCACACTGCCAAACAAAAAGGCGATTTAACGTGAACATAATGAACATATGTATAGATAGCTCTACCATCTGAAAGGTGTTCAAATTGTCAAAGGGGGCTCTTGTGGCCTAGAGGTTAAGGTGTTGGCCTCTCATTCAAAGGTCCCGGGTTCGAATCCGGGTAGCGACCGAAAAATTTTCTTCTCTAAAATTGTCTCCTTTTACCTCCTTTCCTGCTCTCAAGCAATGTTCTGTTGTCTGCTTTCTTTTCCACTTTCTGCCCCCACCCCCTCACCTCCTTTGCCCCCTCCTCTGGGCTCCTGACTCTTTCTGCAGCCTTTCTACTACTACTCCTTGGCTCCTCCTTACTGCTGTCTTTCTGCCACACCCCTGATCTTCTGGTAGGAAAGATCTACACCTAGCCTTCTCGGGCAAGAGCGAAAAATCTCGGAGGGCCCGTGTGCAAGTTGCGCACGTTAAAGATCCCTTGGTGGTCTAAAATCGATAAGAGTAGGCTTCGGCCGCCACCCGGGCAAAATTCAAAATTTCCTACCAACTGAAAATATTAGGAGTGTCCCGCGCGCTCATATGACCTATGCAGTTGCGAGCGCCGTAAAACACTTTACAAAAAAAAAAAAATTGTCAAACACTAACGAGGAGCAAGCACCATAAAAAAAATCCAACGCTAGAGCATCTCTCTCTCTCTCTCTCTCTCTCTCTCTCTCTCTCTCCGTCTGTACCGGTATATATATATATCACAAGTTGCACCAGCCCCCACTCTGTTCAACAATTCGGAACAGCATTAGCCACCACTCTATTCAACAATTCGGAACAGCATCAGCCCCCACTCTATTCAACAATTCGGAGAAGCATCAGCCACCACTCTGTTCAACAATTCGGAGAAGCATCAGCCCCCACTCTATTCAACAATTCGGAGAAGCATTAGCCCCCACTCTGTTCAACAATTCAGAACAGCACCAACAACCCCTCAGTTCAACAATTCGGAACAGCATCAACGACCACTCTGTTCAACAATTCGAAACAGCATCAGCCACCACTCTATTCAACAATTCGGAACAGCATCAACGACCACTGTGTACAACAATTCGGAGCAGCACCAACGACAACTCTGTTCCCCAATTCGTGCAGCATCAGCCATCACTGTGTACAACATGACTTCCATAAGTACAGAAAGACCACATGTATTTCCCTTCTTGGGACAAAGAAGCGTGGAAACTTTTTCTCCACACTGTATGAATTATGAGCTAGTTATCAATGAACAAACATGTAGTGTATACCGGGTTTTCTTCCCGTGCGACTTGAATTCGCAATTTAAGAAATTCACGTAATCAAGTCGCTCGCGAAATATTAAAAAAGGGGGCGCAACGGCATTAAAACCCACAACACTGAGCAACTCAAAGTGCAAATTCAAAATGTTCTTGAAAAAAAAACACGAAACGGGCAGAACGAGAAAAAAAAGGCCCACAAAATAACACCTGATGTACAGCATATTCCACAGGAAATAAAATGACAAATGAATATAAAGTTTATTACATTGTAAGCACAGTTTCCATTGGAAAACAAGAAAAGTAGTAGTCCTTCGCAGCCCACGACAGAAACACCACGGCACACAAGTCCATTATCGGCTGGGATTGATCTGCTTGCTGTGTCTGGGGGAAGAGTGGCGAGAGGAAGAGCCGGGCGTCCGGCCGCGGCGATCGCGAGAGTTGCCTCCCCGCTCCACCGAGGCAGCCGCCTTCCTCTTGTACTTCTCCAGGATGGACTTGAGCGAAGTCTCCACATCGCCGAAGAACGGGCGCCGGCCGGGCTCTCCCTCCCAGCATCCCTGCATGAGCAGCCAGCAGTCCTCTGAGGTGTTCACTGGCTGCTCCGGTCGCAGACCTGGCACAGGAGATTGGCCAAAGTTAGTTTAGTTTTAGTGAGTTTTGCTTGTTTTGTTTGTTTTAGTAGAGATTTTATGGCGCTCGCAACTGCATGGTCCCATGAACGCCAGAAGATTAGAGCTGTTACAAAAGAGTAACAAACACAAAAAAGAAGAAGGGGAGATAAGGACGACAGATATTTGATAGGAAAGAAGAAGCAAACCACACCAGAGCACCCGCCAACCACCCACGTGAGTTTTGCGGCACTTGCAACACAACACAAAAAGGTGATATACATGCCAGAGATTAGAGGCTTTTTAGCTTTAGTAATTTTTTAGTTTCAGTAAAAGTTTTACTGCACTTGCAACACAATAAGGTCAAATAAGTGCCGATGATTGGAGGTGTTACAAGAGAGTAACAAACATAAAATTGGAGGAGAGATAAGGACGATAGTAGTTCCATAGGAAAGAAGCAGCAGACCACACCAGAGCACCCGCAAAAACCCACGAAAAAAGTTAAATCAACAGACTTTACTTTTAGTTTTAGTAAGAGTTTTTACGGCACTTGCAACACAATAAGGTCATATACATGCCAGAGATTAAAGGTGATACAAGAGAATAAAAGACACCAAAAAAGTTAGTTTTAGTAAGGGTTTACAGCACTCGCAACTGCATAAGGTCATATTAGCGCCAAGGGGTGAATGTCAAAAGAGAAAAGATTATAGATGTTACAAGAGAGTAACAAACACAAAAAAAGAAGGAGGGGAGATACAGACGATAGATTTTTTTACAGGAAAGAAGGAGCAAACCACATCAGAGCACCCCCCAACTACCCACGACAAAGTTAGACCCAACAGTTTTTACTTTTCGTTTAAGTAAGACAGTTGCTGCAGTGGAACCCACAGGGAGCACGAGGCAGGGGTATGCCACGTGAAATGGATAAGATGTGCGGAAAGCGACATGAGAGAGATGAAGCTCACTTGGAACAAGTTAGGAAGGATGGCCCAGAACAGAGATAAATGGAAGGAGCCTGTATGTGGCCTATACCCTGCCAGGGGTGAAAGGCATTGATGATGATGATGATTTAGTGAGAGTTTTACGGCACTTGCAACACAATAGTGAAAACATGCCGGAGATCAGAGGTGATACAAGAGAGTAACAAACACAAAAATGAAGGAGGGAAGATAAAGATGACAGACGTTTGATAGGAAAAAAGGAGCAAACCACACCAGAGAACCCGCCAACCCCCCCATTAGACTAAGAGAGAATACAATTGGTGTCCAACTCTAACCATGTATTTGTCAAATAAGGTCCCAGAAATGTCCTATCTTAAATCACCTTATTCGCAACCGTAATTACATTTGTCAGGTCGAAGGAGTCGTCTCCTCTAAAGTGATGTTGATCATTAGGACATAAAGTTAAAGTAGTCAAAATTGTCTGAGACGACCATCCAATCGCGACCTCAGGTCTTTCTTGGCGTATCCCCATTTTTAATAACAGTGAAAACAGTTCATAACAAAGAGTGAGCTTAAGAAAAAGTCACAAAGTCAAAAGAAAGTAAAAGAGACATATATATAGGATCCTAGAAATAATATGTTTGGATGACAAAGACAAACAAAAAAGAGCCAACCTTTCTTCACAGACTGCCAGAGCTGGTCCTTGTTGGCGCACTGCTCAAACGCGTTGGGCAGTCGCACGTGGCCCGCGCACACGTACCAGAAGAGGATGCCGAAGGCGTAGACATCTACGCTGTTGTCGTAGTGACCGGTGAAGAGCTCCGGCGCCATGTGGATGGGCGTGCCCACAATGCTGCCACTCATCATAGCCTCGGGCTTGCAGAACCCAAGGTCGGTGATTTTGCCGCGGTTGTCACGGTCCAGCTGTGGGCGGGAAGAGGTTTTTTTTTTTTTTTTTTCAATAAATAATAAAAGGTCCAATCTTCCAACTTAGAACACAACATGTACCCCTCAAACAACATCTCTACCGAATTGGAGTAAAGCAGTCTGCTGCCTGCCCACTATGTGACTACCCCATAGAGACAGTGGAACATCATCTGTTCTTCCGTAGAAAACTAACGGATTTAAGGGGATATGAGCGCCAAGGGGTGGATGTCAACAGAGAAGTCCTTACAGGGAATCAGGCTTACTCTTCTCACCTCTCTAGCTTCAACATCACAAAGTCTGCTTCAGCTATCAAAGCATCCCGGAAATAGCAGTTCACAAGAGAGTGACAAACATACAAAAGAAGTAGAGGTAAAATGATGATAGTAAAATTGAGGAAAGAAAAAGCAGCAGTTCCCCCTATGCTGTTCCGGCACAGTGTGAGCATGATACTGATAAATCAGCCCATTTACAATTCTACTGTGCATAAGATCATGTTAATCCTCCTTTGGGAATGGCCTAGACTCCTTCAGTCAGTAGCACTGCCTTGGGAGGTGTAATAAAAATAATAATAATAATAATAATAATAATAATATTATAATA